CACTGGAGATGGGGGAGAAGGGGCGGAACACGTGGCCCGGCACTATTGATTGCTCATATCTCCGTGCAAGTGCTTGTGTTCCATGCCCCTTCTCAAGGAGCGCATCCATTCTTAGCAACAATGTTTAAACTCCACTTCCAAGCAGCTTTTCATCTTCAACATTACCGGTGAAAGCGGCGCCCGCGTATGAATCGTCTAAATCAAACACCTAGGGACAGCCAGTGACACATCATCCTGCAATACGCGCTGCTGCCTTTCGCCGCTCTATCCATAAGCGCGACCGTCGAGCTGAGAGAAGGAAAAAAGAGAGGAGGAAAGTAAGCCACGGTAGGAGAGCTCGCAGACATAGAGATAGGCGGTGTTGATGTCGGGCAGTGCCAGAGGGCGAGACCGAAGTCGCGACGAACAGGTGGGCGCGCTGCTCGCCGGCCGAGTTAGCCAGTGCCGCCAGCCAGGCGCACAGGCAGCGCACCAGGGCCTCCTCCGACGGCGGGTACTCCTGCGGCGCGGTGAGGGCGGTCAGATGGCACAGATACGCGACGCGGTGGCGGACGGGAGGACGGTCGATGGCACAGACACATGACCCGGGGTGAGTGGGAAGGCGGTCAGGGTGCATACCGACGCCGACAGCAGAGGCGCGAAAGACGGCGCAGTGCACGACGATCCGCTTCGATTCGAGGCGTGCTGGCCTGTGGTTCATGCGCGGTTGAATTAGACCCATTTGCCATCTCCCACTATGGATGAAATTAACTCAATTTGGCATCATTTATTCCCAGAGCGAATTCGCTGTCATTTTCTGTTCGCAACAAACGTTAGGTTTGGGTAATCAATTACTCTTGGTGCCTCTCAATCGAATACACTAAGTAGCAGCTGGTCACATACCTCGGAAAGGACGATGTCCTTCAGCCCAATGCCAGACGCCAAGTCATGGAGCTGGCTGCGTGACGTCAGATATGACGTCACGGCCTGTACACCCTCTTCAGGCACGCGCGGCAATGCAGCACGCAGCCAGCCGGCAACATATGATGTCATCAGCTCCCGGCCGCGAACTGCCAACGCGCTGTTGTCCTCAGTTGACTCAGCCTGCAGGACATGAGAGCCAAAGGCCATCAATAATCCCGTGAAAGGGGGTAACATGAGACTGGCGAGCGCCATGAGCAGCACCGTTGATAGAATACGTAACGAGCTCTCATACACAGCACGCCGGTCTTTCGCATAGGCGTACATTACTTAACACCCGCACCCAACTGTCAAACTCGGTGCAAACATTTGAGCGTTTCGGCGTAGAAGAGGAATGATTTTGAACATCAACCAATTGCATGTGACACAATATAATGTCCATGTCACATTCTCTCTTAGGGTGCTGGTAATGAAGCAGTTAAGCTACGCGTCTGGGAAACCGGAACTACGGGGTCTGCACGGTGTCCACCCTTCCAGCCAGGGTGGGTGAGAGGCAGGCGACGCCATATAGCTCAGCAGCTGAGCAGCCGATGACGACGATGCCATGTCACGTTCTCAATGTGGATTAGCACCTAATACCCCATCAACTGCCACGATAAAATGCAATGCAAGCGCGCCCGCAAGGGAAATCCAAAGGGGCAAAACCGCAGCCACGCCTGTTCCCAAGGACTGGGCCTGCCTCTGCGCCGCGAGAGCGCACCTGACCATCCGACCCTCACAAGTACTCGCGCCGCCAGCCCCGGCCGAACAACAGTGGCGGCCGGCAGCGTCCGAAGCCGTACTGGGTCGGGCAGGCCGAGCGCTCGCGCTCCAGCCGCCTCTGCAGCACGAATGAGCGCTCGGTGAGCGCGCGCCGCACGGCCGCCTCGTCCACCGTCTCGCCCAGCCGGGCAGAGAACGCGTGCAACTCGGGGGTAGTTCCTGGCGGGCAGCAGCCGCGCGGTCGGCGAAGGGGCATGGGGCGGCTTACGTGAACAAAGGCTGGCCCACAGGTGAGCAGTGCTTCGGCAGGGACACAGGAGAGAGAGGCAAGCATGCTAGTGGCCAGCCTCGTAGATGCATTCCCTGTTTATTGCAGAGAACTAAGATTGAATGGCATGCCAACAGCGTGTCGATCGTTATGCATTGCACTCTTGAAGCTATGAGCAATGCTCAAGATCACAGCCATGTTCTGATAGTGGTAGGTGGACAGCGGTTAGAGCAATACAAAAAAAAAAACACGACGCTGAGCGGCGTGAATGCACTCTGCACTTCAAAGGAAAAGATCGTGTATAATGGGTACAGGGATGCAATTCTCGCACACCGCTTCCTTGTCAAAGGGCCGCCTGCTGCCATCAGTGAGGGTAAAACACTTAGTGCTTAAAATGAACAAATAGGTTGTTTTAAACTAGGCCAACGTGATTTGGCGTGTGTATGTCATATGTTACATCGACTGGAGTCACACATCGATCCACGAATAGAAGTGTAAATGAAATGAGATAAATGAAAATGGGAAAAGGAAATAAAATGAGATTGAAGTACGCGAGACGAACTGAGTGAAATCGGGCACGAAAGTGGAAAGAATTGCCGGCATTACCAAGAACCATCGCTTACCATTCCACGAACGACGATCTCGGATGAGGACCAGTGTCTCCATATTTCCTCTTTCTAGCAGCCACAGCTGAAAGAGTAGCCTTCACGTGCTTTGGTAGAAATGTCCGTTTCCCTGTAAACAAGACATTTCCATCCCATAAGAACAAAATATCACGCTTCCTTTGAAGCGGTCGACACGGAAAAACCAACATCGAGCATACCATTTAGGCTACCATCCGGTAATTTCAGACGTACCGTTTTGATTCGAAATCTGCTGTATTTTTCCTCAAAATCTCTTTGATGTGAATTTGACACGACTGTCCCATCCACCCGGTTTTGCCGCAATATTTCATGATCCGTATCCTCTTGTCCATGTTTCATATCCTCTAACCCAGGACAGCTTCCTCGCTCTCGCCCCTTCCTGCGGGTTAGGGCGGGTAGCCGGGCATGATCCTCAGGCCGGTTGCATACGTGACGAACCAGAGCAAAATTCTCAACAACTTTCACAGAGCAAACCTTTATGCAATATATACTCCCCCTCACATGTCAAGTTGGATCAGGGGAGGTCAGAGATCTAACACCTTAAAATTTCATGACAACTAGAAAGGAGGGCCTGGTGCACACATAGCTAAGAATGTGTCACGTGACATCGTTTCCCCTCACTTTCACCGTAAAGAACTTTGGGAGCGGGTTTACAAGGCCGTGGTCTGATATGGATGGAACTGAACACGCGCTTGGATAGGGGGTCATTTGACCCCTCCCCCCCCCCCGAAGGTTTTTCCGGCATGGTTTCCGAACAGCGCGGCGCGGCGGCGTCAAATTTTGCAAAGTTGTAAACGACTGGATAGTGGATCATTTCGCATAATAATTTATATGTATCTTGTAGGGTCGCTGATCTACAACAGGCCAGTCAGGTCATGGATTCAGCAGTCAGTGTCCAGGAATCTGTTCCATCTCATGCAGCAACGGAGTGTTAGATGAAGTCATACATCTCTGAGGTGCTTTCTTAGGCAACACATTGATTAAATGAACAAATGGCATTGATGTAGGGTAACGCATGACGGTCAGACCACGGTCAAATGTGTGCCATTGGGGCTTTACGGCGCACTCAGCTGCCGAGAATATATGGCGTCGACTGCCTCACTCTGGCAGGAAGGGCGGGCACCGCGGGGAATCGAACCCCGTACCTCTGGTTTCCCAGACGCGCAGCGGTCAGCACAGACGCGCTAACCACTACACTACCGGCACCTCATCCCTCCGCCCAATCTCTGGGGTGCTTTATTAGGCAACACATTAATTAAATGAACAAATGGCATTGACGTAGGGTCACGTATGAAGGTCAGACCGAAGTCAAATGTGTGTCATTGAGGCTTTACGGCGCACTCAGCTGCTGAGGATATATGGTGTCGACTGCCTCTCACCCTGGCAGGAAGGGCGGGCATCGCGGGGAATCGAACCCCGTACCTCTGGTTTCCCAGGCGCACAGTGGTCAGCACGGACGTGCTGACCACTACACTACCGGCACGCCCGTCCCCCCCCCCCCCCCCCCAGGTAAGATCAATCCAGTTTATTACTCTAGGGCTTGCTGTATGAGGTAGCTTCTGGTGCTCATTTCGAATTTATTGATAACAGGAGCCGCACTGCACATCTTCCATGGGCTTCCTAGACGCCTGAACAGGCCATTGACCTAAACTGACCCTGGTAAACATTTTGGTTTTGGGAACAAACTGCCTAGCGTAATCTTTGCAGCCTATTCAAATGCAAAACTCAAAGCAGTCTTGTATGATTTTGGTCACCATGAACTTCAAAAGGTCAAACAAGCCCACTGACCTTAAATCAGCATGTAACCTTTGGCTTAGATCAGATATCGAAGTTCTGGGGACACTCTGGAGGCCAACTTGGTGTTTAACCTTGTTTTATCTTCTTTGACCCAAAGATCACGACCTAGCAATCTTAAACTTTGACATAATTGAGTTCACGTACAAATCAACAGGCCCTGTGAGTTTGGTGCCGCTAGCTTCCTTAGTTCCTGAGATCTTACGGGGGGGGGGGGGACTGGCCCTCTCCCGAGCGAAGGGTTTCGCACTGGCCAACCGGGCGCCTGTTAACATTTGCAGATCAAGTGCAAGGGGGAGGTACGGCAAGGTGGTCAAAATTTCATTACGATGAACCGCACGGCTCTGGAAATGCTTTCGACACACCGGAGGGAGGCCCTCCCATCGTCGCCGCGGGGGTTAATAGCTGACATTTTGTGCAACATTGTGCTTTTCAATATCGTTGTTGCATCGCAAAAACACTCACACTCAGTATATCACGAAGACTGGTAAAACGAAGATATCAAGCAGGATCGGCGTAAGCTGTTAAAATATTCCACGTCACATTGTTCCAGCATAAGAGCACATAACGTGAAAAAAACAAGCACATCAGGCCTTTCTTACTTAAATCAAGCTTCAAAGTAATGTTATCTTAAGTGTCCTATTTGCGAAACCCCTTGGTGAACTTAATACACTCCGGGCGATGATCTCCTTACGCAGTGCTCTAATTGAATGAAATAAAACGGAATCCCCACGGCATCGGCTCTGACGACCCGCTGATCCCAACCGCATCATCTTCTGCCGGATCTGAGAGACGCATTTCTTTAATTATCACTGAAAGATCAACACGATAAATGATGAAACCCGTTTGAACTCTGGCGAAGCCCTGTCGTCGATACTGGGGTGCAAGGCACTTGCGAGCCTCGTGTTTACGTGAAATATACTTACTTTGTCATTCAGTTATCACATTCACCGTACGTGTGCCTTACAGATACTGTACTGGACATGAAGCCTTGACGAGGGTGCAGTCTCCAATAATGGAACACAGCATATATACTGTTAAGCCCAGGTTGAATGCCAAATATTTAAAACTAAACAAAAAAAGCATTCACATTACCAGCGAGCAAAGATTCGCCACTATTGTGGCCCTTCCCCTATGGCTAACACAGAATCAAATATATGCCATGCCAAGATGGCAATATTACATTGCTCAAATCATTATACAGGGCCTTAAAAAGCTTGCAGCATGTTTGCTTATCAACAAAACACGGTGATGTAACATCAAGCATTGTTCGCAAGGAGAGTTCTGAGGAACTGAATTAGCCAAACAGTTAGTGTTGAACATGCTGTCCCAAAATGGTTGGCATGAGGACTGTCTATAAATTATGCTATGCATTATTGACCATTTTCAACAGCCCTCACACTTGATAACACATTGGTTATGTTGGGCAAAAACCCCTTCTCCAGTTGCCTCAGGCTAAACTGAGCTAGAATTGTGGAGCATAGATGAACATGATGCTTGTCATGAGAGTGGACCAATGGTATCTGGCTTTGAGAATGTTGTTACGTGTTGTAGCACCCCACAAAGATGCACACTCTTTTGTTGTTATATGTCATAGCTGTGGTAAAGGAAACATGTAAGTTGGGTGAAGTAGTGGCATCACCTGAAGCAAAGCAAATGCTGACCTGAAAACAACTTTTAAGTACACCATATCAAATAAGACAGCAAAACAACAAAGCTGAATACTGAGGCATTCTTTAAAATCTGTGAGGCACTGCAAGCAGTTCAATACTCTAACCTGGTGCAAGACATGAAGCCTGAGTCATAACAACTTTCTAAGCATGGATGATGTTTGGGGAAGGAAGAGCAATATGTGCCAGTACCTGTGACCAACACTGACAGAGGAGGGTGACAGAGCCTCAGCATGTTCTGGCTGCATACGATGACACGTAGGTAGGGGACAGCCATACTGTACACTCAGATGAGTAGGTGTAGGTGACCCTGAAATAAAATTCACCCATGGTCAGCTGCCATATCAATAAACAATCTTAGGCCTTCACTTTGGCACTCATACATGCTAGCACAATACAGGTACCAGGTGCATAGTTTAACAAAATGAGTGATGGGCTTAACAGTGAGAAATGACAAAACATCTCCAAAATGCACCAACAAATGGGCCCCTCCTCCCCATATTTATCCTGCTTTGTCCTTCAAGTTGGGGATCCTAGGTTGTGGGATGGGGCTGAAACCCTACCCCAACTGAACAGCAATCTACACCCTCAAATGAACCTACCCAGGATTTGCTTCAGGGGGGAGAAGGGAGGAATGTCATCTGTTCTCTGCACTCCAGCAACTTAGGACTAAATTCCAAAGAGCTTACCCCATACTTTGTGTAAACCTGTTAACTTGGTGGGCACAGGGCATGGCCCTAATGCCTTGCCCCCTGACCTGGTTACACCCCTGATAAAACAATACAAATGACAACACACTGTAAGATGTTGCTTTAATGCCCTGGACTAGCAGTCTGAGATAAGTGCCATGCCTACTCTAGTTGTCCCTGTTAAGAGTTTATACTGCCAGTCATTGCTCTTTGCAGAGGTCAACTGCTTGCACATCTAATTGCTGTGGGGCTAAAATCTAAAAACAAAGCTGTCCCTGTTGGGTTCACATGACCATTTTGTAAATGGCCATCTCAGGTATGATGGAATGGGGACTGCATGTCCATTCAATGTCTTTTGTCAATGTCAATGTCTGATATCCCCATTGTTTTTAGAGATCTTTGCAAAGGTCAACTGTTTGTGCACCTAACTGCAATGGGGCTCATACTTATTTGCCATGATCACACTCTGTGACTATTTGTTCCATTCAATTTCAAGGAAGTCTTAAGTCTATGACAGGCTAATAAACACATCTGTCCCTGCAACTTTCTCTGAGCCCTAGATGGATATGAGATTTCTCTCAGTGAACTTATCCACTGTTGTGGCTGTTGCAGATCCCAACAGAAGCAGCAGATTCAGGGCAATTATCAGAAGGAAGGGGGGGAGGGGGTATTGGGGGGGGATGGAAGCTCAACTTCCAGCAGGGAAGCTTTGACATGTTAACACAGGGGTTCCCCTAACACAGGAAGACTGAAATCCCCATTTATTGGCTAAAGTTCTGGAGATGATGTGCTGTTAAAGTCTTGCGACCATTATGAAACCTTGAGAGCGATGAATATTTCAAAAGTGCAGTTGGGTGGACAACAGTTTAAATGGCAAACAATGTGCCAAAAACTGATCTCAGCTGTCACCTCAACATTGTGCATGATGCAAAGAGTATATTACACTCTGCACAAATACAAATGCATGCATTGTGCAAAAGATTTAGCCAATCTTAGGACAGAATAATTTGACAGCAGATTGCTGATACCAAGATACATTTCTGGGACCAAGGAGGCAAATTCTCTGCTAAGCAGGACACGTCTGTGAAAGGAAGAAGTCTGTTCCCGAAGGTTCAGCTACACTATTGTGGGATTTCAAGGAGAAATCCACACACGACTTGACAAACACGCGCTTAAACACCACCTGCACACCACACCTTGTCTTGGATAAGGGCGCATAGCCTCCGGGCTCTTTTTTGTGGGCCAATGCAGGCCTCTTTTTCCTCGACGCACAGTCACCTCCGAGGGGGGGAGGGGCGATTTACTTCCGGCAAAAGGCCAGGCAACGATTACGTTAAACCGGCTTATGCTGTTCTGCGAAGCAAGGGAGAGGGTATTTGTAAGTGACGTTACGTTAACCTGGCTCATTTTTGTCCAGCAAGAATAGCAAGTGTATCAGACCGCAGCAACAAATATTTATTTAACGACCACATAACACGCATTCAACACGTTTGAACGACAAGTGAGCCTCCTCACCGGCCCTTCCGCCTTACTCCTGGGGTGCCGTGTGTCCTGTGTGGGATGTCCGTGTCAGCGATGGCCTTGGCTCAGCTGACTTCTCGGCGACCTATGCGATGGATGGATGCCAGCCCGCTTCATCGCAGCAACGGGGGGGGGGGGGGTCAGCCCCGGTCTCCGTTGCTGCCCGGCACGACCTTGTGGTGTTGTGTGATGTTATTGAGTTCTCGAACGTCTTGACTAAGAAAAACCAGGACTCCTAGCCAGTAGGGAAAAACCTGCAATCTTTGCTAAATTATGCAAGAAAAACCCCTTTATTCAAATGAATATATCTTATCCTGTACAGTGCAAAAACTCAAAGAGGAGAACGATCAAATCAGGATAAGAATCACCGAGGAGAGAATGGAGATTGAGTGGAAGCCGGTTAGCGTTGGTGTAAGTGATGAGCGGCTGCCTTGATCGTTGATATACCGGACACACGAGGAGGAAGTGATTTATTGCGAAGGGGATGCAGCGGCGATGACACAGCGGAGGAGGAGCGCGTTCGAAAAGGTGACAGTGGGTGATTTCGGAGTGACCGATACGCAGTCTGGCGAGCAGCACTTCCTTCAGGCGATGATCTTGATTAATTGTCGGCCAGTGCTGAAGTATGGGTTTGATTGGATGAAGGTGGTGATGAGCACGTTGATGCCATTCGGATTGGAGAAAGAGACGGAAAGGTAAATTGATAACTGCTAGAATATCAGAAATGGGACAATGAAGATAATTACGTTCCGGAAGCATGAGACTTCGTTTTGCTTCTTCGTCAGCAGTGCTGTTTCCATGAATATTTGCGTGTCCAGATATCCAGAAATTAGTGCGTGCGTTTGCTGAGGAAGGGAGCAGAGCGTTCGTCGTATGCCGTTTAAAGTTGGGTGGGATGAATTATGGAGGGTGATGAGAGCTTGTAACGAAGAATGAGAGTCGGTGCATATGGCTGTCCTTTGTAGATTCCTTGCTTGATGTAGAGCAGGATTGCTGTTAGTTCAGCCGTATACACAGCATTGTAATTTGACAGCCAGTTTGATTTGTGGTAATTATGATGTACGAGGGCAGCTCTTGTGCGACCATCGCATCGGGAGCCGTCAGTATAAATAAAGGTCTGCTGGTCATATTCTCCTTTGAACTCAGCGAAGCGTGCATGCACTTCGGTTTCTGATACGTTTCGTTTCTTGCATTTAAACAAAAAATTACGTTAGGTATAGGGTCGCCCCAAAAGGTCGGGGACTGGGAGTTGGGTTGCAGGGAGTGTCGGGGAGATTAAGCGCTCGCCGCGCTCGAATAACACGAGTGCTGATGGTTGGATGCTTGAGTTCCTCGTTGGTAAGTGTGCGGTTGGGGCGGAGGTGTTCGAGGGCGTTGTATGTGGGGTCACCAACGTGGCCTGTGGCGCGCGCGTAAAATCTGAGAAGTTGTAATTTTCGTCGGTGTGATAGGGAGGGTATTCGTGTCCGCGAACATATTTGGGACTGGGGAGGTGCGAAATGCACCAGTCACTGTGCGGAGGGCTGCGTTTGGGATGGTCTCCAGGGTTTCGACTTTTTTGGAAGAAATAGTATAAAAAAGAAAGCCATTGTAGTCCAAGATCGGGGCGTATCAGGGAGGTATAGAGACGGGGAAGAGTGCGTCTGTCGGTGCCCCACTCCCGCCCTGCTATGCATTTCATTATGTTCAATCGTCTGGCACATCGTTACCTAAGGTCACCAAAATGAGCATTGAAAGCAAGACGACAATCTTATGTTATTCCAAGGTATTTAAAACTATCAACTACAGGATTATTTCACCATTAAGATTCAGGGTGGGGGGGGGGGGAGATTGAACATTATTTCGCCTAGAGAAGATGATTACAGCTGACTGTGGGGGAAATCTGCAGTCCCTACCGTGCACACCAGACGTGAATATCATTTACAGCTAATTGTATATAATGCAGCGCGCGATCGACATTAGCATGCGTATGCCACACAGCGAGGTCGTTCGCGTATAAAGAATACTGAAAATGTGTAAAAATATTATTAATATTGAAAACATCATTTATCATCACAAGGAAGAAGGTTGGAGATAAGACACTGCCCTGAGGAAGGCCGTGGTCCTGCGTCGTCGGAGAAGAATAAGTATTTCCGCAACGCACAGAAACGTCCTATCAGTTAGGAAGTTTTTCATGAAAGCGGCGAGCCAGCCACGAACTCCGATTTCATGTGGTTTAATCAGGAGGGCACTTTATTCACCCTGTCGAAAGCGGCCTTTTAATCCATGAATAGTGCTACTGTAGAAGATTTAGTCTGAAATCCGAGCTGAACTGAAGCTATAATGTGGACCAGGCTGTCCGCCGTAGAGCGGCTGGGACGAAAGCCGTTCTGAAAAGGTGAAAGGGTGATTTGACTCAAGGAACACCCTGATACGTCCGTTGAACATTTATTCGAATATTTTAGAAGCACAGCTAGTAAGTGAGGTGGGGCGATAGCGAAGGGTCAGAGGGAGGCTTATAAGGCTTAAGTATAGGGATAAGTGCGCTAGAGCGCCATGAGTGTGCGAGTACCGAGTATAGCGCGCGAGTAGTAGTACCTAGACCGAACGGCAGATGGCAGAGCGTCTCGCGGAGTACAGAAGTGCAATCTAGTTCCGACCGCCGACTCGTGTGCACCTTTGCGGAGACAGACTCGAACAATGAGGGAGGGAAGGAGCCGTTAACCCACATATCGTTGAAAGCCGACAGAAGGTTGGTGAGTCCAGACCTAGTAAGATTTCTAAAGAAGGGGTAGGCTAAATGGTCTGGACCGACAGAAGTGTTTCCGCTCTTACTGATCGCAGGGTCCAATTCATAGGGTGTGAAGAGTACGGTGCATGTCTCAGTGTTAGCAGACGTGAAGTTGAGTGCGAGCAGTGTGGCATTAAGTGTGTTAGCGATCTGTTGGGAATGCTGCTCGGATGATGCTACACGGGCGAAGTGTGCAGCAAATTTTGTGGCGACTTCGAATGGGATGCTGTAGTGTTGTTTGCTGACTACAAGGTGCGGGGTTTTATAATGTGGCGTGCGCTTGTTTGTGGAAACCGAATCAGTGACCATATTTTAAATAGAGGGGTAAAGCAATTGAACGTATTTGAAGATTGCTCCCAGCGTACCTGTTTTGCGCGTTTAATGATTAAATCGACTCGATGCTCTGCGAAACTCCTCTTCATGAGCTCTGCAAATGCAATTACGAAAGGCACGCATAGCCCGGCGTCACAGGGCTACTGCGCGCTGACACTCATCGTTCCACCAGGGCGCACGTTTGTGCTCTGGTCGACGATGAGTGTGTGGAACGAACTGGTGCGCTGAGGCCAACATAGTGTTTAGAAATGTAGGGAGGTCGGGAGTTGTGCCTGAAGGGTGTGCCTCATCTATATAATTTTGGAAAGATGCCCAGTCCTCTCTGCGAACATTCCATCGGGGAAGAAAATAGAAGTATTTGCCCTGATGGGACTTCTAAATTTATGCGGATCGGGTAGTGGTCACTAAAAGCGTGTCTGATTGAACATTGTGCGTAAAGAGTAGTGCTATGCGGGGTGTTGTTAGGGCTAGATCTATAACGGAGCATGTCACTGTGCCTCCGTGGTGATGTGCATGCGTAGGTGTCAGTTCGTTGATACATATGAGGTCATGAGTGTCCATGAGTGTGTGTAAAACTCCCCCTCCCCTTGTTTGTGTCGTGCTACAACCCCATGCACGATGATGGGCGTTCAGATCCCCAAGAAGGAGGCAGGACGAGGGAATCTGTGCGAGTAAGGCGGAGAGATCAGCTAAGGAGACAGGGCTAGTGGGGCTAACGTATGTAGAAAAAAAAGTAAGATCTAGCTGTGCTAATTTTACGTTTATTGCAACTGAATTGAAATTAGTATTAAAATGAACTTGACGATGCAAAAGGTTATTTGAGACAAGCAAGGCCGAACCGTCTCGGCGCAGGGTTTCGTTGACGCTATGTGTGTAGAGGCAATAACTCTTGAAGCTATAATTTTTAAAAAAATCTGAGTTGTTAAATAAGGTCTCTTGAATGGCGGCTATCAATGGTTTGTTTTTGATCATATATTCCTTGAATTCTGCCCAATGGGATGCCAGAGATCTCGTATTCCATTGGAGCAAGAATTCACCGAACTGGGGATTCATTTAGGGCAGGGAGGGAGACCATCCAGCGGAGCGGCAGTGAGAGAGCGATCGCGGGGCGCGACGACGGGAGCGCGTAACGGGTCAGGCTCGGCGTTCGACTGAGGGACTGGCCCGGGGGGTTGGAGTCGGGAGCGCGGCGGGTGAGGCATCGAATGGGGCTTCTTGGGACGCCGGTGCGGGTGGAGTGGACCAACACCGACGTGTTGGGGTGGGAGAGAGGCTCTCCGAGTTTGGTGGGGTGAGTCTCTGCTCGGAGAGGCTCGCAGCTGCCGGGTTCGCGGTAACTGGGTTGGATGGCGCGGGCTCGATCGTACGCAGCACTGGGCGCGGCTGACCTGCTGGGGAGGGGCGGCGTGCTGAGGAGGCGTTGGGTGGGCTAGGGCACAACACTGGTTCGATACCTCGGGCTCCTCAACAGGACGCGGAGGAGGGAGGGGGCGCCGCCGCGGAGCTGGTGTTAGAGGGGGAGGATGAGAGTACGCCTCCCGCGGTGTGGGCCACTCCTGAGGCTGGAGCACTCAGACGGGTGCATAGGCCGCTGCCGCTGCCTGCTGCTGGCGCTCGCGCAGCGCCTCGCGCTGCACATGCCAAGCGGGACTGGCGCGGTGGTCCCCAGCTGCGTGCGGACCTTTACATGTGACGCAGCGCGAGTTTTCCGCGTCACACTCCCGCGTGTGATGAGGGTCGGCGCAGCGGCCGCAGGTCGGGCGCGCAGCTCGGCAGGTCCGGTCAGTGTGGCCGAACCGTTGGCACGTGCGACACTGCTGGGAAGGGACCCTGGCCTTTACCGGGACCATGAGGTATCCGCGGTGGATGGCACGTGGGAGCTTTAGCCCCCTAAATCGCAGGCGGACGAGTGGGTTGGGGCCCAGGCCGGGACGGCGGGAGGACAGGCGAGTAACCTCGCACACCCTTTGCTCGGTCAGCTCCTCTAGTAGCT